TCCCGAGAGAGAGAGAGAGAGAGAGAGAGAGAGAGAGAGAGAGAGAGAGAGAGAGAGAGAGAGAGAGAGAGAGAGAGAGAGAGAGAAGAGAGAGAAGAGAGAGAGAGGAGAGGGAGAGGGAGAGGGGGAGAGGGAGAGGGAGAGGGAGAGGGAGGGAGAGAGAGAGAGGGAGGGAGGGAGGGAGGGAGAGAAAGAGAGAGAGAGAGAGAGAGAGAGAGAGAGAGAGAGAGAGAGAGGGGAAAGAGGAAGATGACACTTTTTTTTGTTATACTTCAAAAGTATATTTTAAACACGTACAAAAAACAGTCAGCGTGTAAGTTTGCCAAGAGTTCCGATATACAGCAACTTAGCATTAGCCTCTTCCACACAATAATTTACACCTGGCCACGTCTGTTCACACCACCGCTGAACCAATGTTACTCACTTCTACCTGTCGGTTGCACAACTTCTGAGGGTTTCGAGGTGCCGGTTCATCTTCAATGCGATAGCGGTAAACTTGATGTCTCGTTGGAGGGTGGTGACTAAACAGAACACGGACACGGTGCTCCCCTCCTCAGTGTTTCGCAGTGTCTTAATTGATGTGTATGCAGTAATTGCTTGGTTACCTGGTGTTGATGTTGGCTGGCGGGAAATGTGCCCAAGCAGAAGCCATCTCGTTTGCTTTGCCGTAGCAGATATTGGCTCAGTGTGAGAAAGCTGATACAGCTCACTGTTTGAAATGGCACGAGGGTAGAAGATGCCAAGCGTATGCCGAAGTTGCTTGCGGTGAATCTTATCCAGGGAGTCTTTCAATGCCTTAGCGGAGAGGCCTGTGCAGCCAATGTTGTATGTGAGGAAAGGAAGAACGTACATGGCGTGGAGTCCTACCAAGGGTATTCATTTGTAGATGTTGGCGCCGAAACCAAATCGCCCTCATTTGACCGAATGCCACAGCCGAAAGATTAGTCCTGCGTACTACATCCTGTGCTGCATCGAATACAGAGCCCAGAGTCCTTACGCCTCTCCTTGGCTCCTGACCACGTGCAGTTGTCTGGTGTACCACTGCTTTCGGTACTGGCTCAAGGTAGACTTTGACCCATTCCATTTTCGGCACATTGACTTTGAGATACAACTTGTCGAAAATGCCCTCTGTGAGTGTCAGAAGTTGGCGGAGATACGCGTGGGACGTTGAAATGGATAGTGTGTAGCTAAATACCAAACTAGGCCAGCTTTCGATCAACCAAACTCCTCACATAGGTCTTCAAGTCAACTTCGGTAACACAACCTGAGCACCAGGAAGCAACCCCTCAACTTGAACTTAACCATGATGTTCAACTGGGTGTTGACATAAGCTCCGGTACACACAGTCCTTCATGCAACACATGGATCTTTCTTTAGGTGCACCTTAAGAGCATCTGAAATCCCTTTCTTCATAAAAGTTAATCAAAATTCAGATGACAACCAGTTGCCCGAACAAAACTTATAGTTTACTCGGATACCGAGCCAGTAATAAATGTAAAAATAGAGGAAACACATTGGAAAGTGCGATAACAGACAGGCTACTGAGACATTCAGCGACCTGAGATCTAGGTCTAACACATCTCCAGTGCGCAAACCAACAGCCTTCCAACTTAGAAGGTTCACGGTTAGGTAGGACCGAAGAGGTCAGTTTTGTGCCCTGTTTTTTAATTTTTTTTTTACACTTTATGACTGCATATTGTCTTGTTACAGTCGTGGATAGTTGCTGCATAACTCGTTTCATTGTGTTTTCCCTCTATTTTCAAAACTTGTAGTCTTTAGGTATGGTATTCTCATAAACATGAAGCAGATGAGTTAGCTCATCAGCATTCAAATTAACGTCATCATCAGTTAGAAGGAGCAGGACAAGATGGAATACTTTTCAATACTTTTCTTCCTCCATTAACTGAGTATTTCCGACTTCCTTTGAACATCCTAAATCTATCAAGGATATCTACCTAGTATTTCTTTCCAAAAAATATTTTTGGTCTTTGCTATTTGATTTGTCGAAAAATATAATTAACTTTGGAAAGTATGAGTATCGACCAGGCAAAGAACGAAGCAAATTCCTACTGCTTGACCTCTCTAACAGGTAAAGTGCATACCTGCCAAGTACTGAGAGTGCTTTTTCTGGATCGCCATGGCAAAATCCCGCGATTTGCCTTGGTTTTTCGGGATATGTCATATTTTTACCAAAAAAATCCTTTTTCAACTTTTAATGGCACCAACATTTCGATAATAGATGATTGATGGTGATCATCGGATCACACTTACACATGTTCAAGACTCAAAAACGGAGGTTTTTCAGATAAGGACAATTAGTTACTGGCCTGTGACAAGTCATTTGAAGTGCTCCAAGTACAATATCAAGCTTGTTTCTTGTACAGTGAATTTCGGGATAATCGACAGGAATTTCGGGATCGCGGGAGTTCATCCAAAATTGCGGGATAATCCCGAAAAAATCTGGATACTTGGCAGGTATGAAAGTGATGCGGCCGCGAAT